GAGAAAATGTTAGCGATGATTTTAACTATGAGTTTCTTTTACTTCATACCGCCTGTCGATTGTTTTCTTGCCCAAAAACTTGTGAGAAAAACTTTTCAGTAGCTCACACTTTACTACAACTTTTTGTGCAAAATTTTCCAATAATTTTTGGAGAAGGCAGTGTGTCGTACAATGTCCATGGGTTGCTACATTTGAGTGAAAGCATTAAGCATTTTGGACCCTTATACAATTTTTCAGGGTATGATTTCGAAAACTATTTGCAAATATTAAAAAAATACGTTAAAAAACCTTCCCATATTCTACAGCAAATATGTAAACACGTGCAGGCTGAAACTATTATAAAAAGAGAGAAAACGCTTAAAATACAAAAAAAAAAAATAAAATATAAAAAGTTTTGATTTTGAATTCCATTTAAGCATGCGAATGCCAGACAGCTTTTGCTGTGTTAAGCTAAATATACCAGTGAGAATAGTTGGGTTCGAAAAGGGTTGCGACTTAACAATCCTGGCAAGGAAATTAGTAAACGTTAGGAGCTTCTTTACAGAGCCAGTAGATTCTTTCTCATCGCTGGGTATTTGGGTACGACACTTCGCAACCAATAAACAAGTTTAGAATTCATGAGATTACCTATATGCCTTACCTACCTTATAACAACGAATTTCGTTTAGTACCTTTGCAGCATACGACTACTTGTTCACAATGAACCGAAAGGGAAAATTAATTCAGATGAACGCTGCAGTGGATGAAAATCTTCCAGGAAGAGGTACGTAGTATTGCTTTTGCCTTTTTGGTAACATTTTTCATAAGCATATGTACAGTATATTAGATCAAATAATATGGTATATATATTTACATCTTTTTCAGATTCAAAATCATGCGAAAATTGCAAAAATATGAAAAACCTGCATTCGGAAATACAGGAACTTAGAGGTAAGCTTCTAATAATAATTGAGTTTACCCTGAGAACTGAGTTTAGTTACGTCAACAAAACATCATTCTCTCAAAACACCCCATTCACGTGTTGATTTGATTTTAATATTTACAATGTTTTTCATGTTAAAATTGGGTTTATTTCATAGTTTTAATGTTGTTCATGCTTTAAACAAACCCACGTAAATCAAAGATTAAAATTTTATGCAGAATGCAGAAAGATTCATCAAATTAACACAATTTTTTAAATTCTGCATAAATTTTGAATATTTGATTTACATGGGTTTGGTTAAAGCATGAACAATATTAAAAATAAAAAATAAAAACCAATTTTAACTTGAAAAACATTGTTTTTGTTATTTGTATGGCCTTATAACAATTATATTCAACAATTTTTATGAGCTTGAAGCCGTTTCATGTGAAATGTTATTGTGGAAACGGCTTCAAGCTCATAAAAATTGTTGAATATAATTGTTATAAGGCCCTAAATATAACAAAAACAAATAACTTAAGGACGAGCACACCTAAAAGTTAAACATTCTAATAATAACAAGTAAGAAAGTCTAAGTTCGGGCGGAGCCGAACATTAAATACCCGGCGCTACCGCTACATGGTAAGCCAGGGTGTATCAATTTTGAGTAAATTAGCGTCCTTAAATTTCAAAATATTGACGTTTCAAGCATTTCTAAAATTTACCGTTATATGAAAAACCATAATTTTAGTCCGATTTCAATAATTTTCATCGTTTTGCTTTTATGTAGCAAGCACAATAAAAATACCGAGTTTGGTACAAATTGGTAGAACGGTTACCGAGATACATATATGTGATCATAAGTGGGCGGTGCCACGCCCATTTTTCAAAATTTTATTATAGACGTATTTCCTGGTAAGGTATTGTTTAAAGCATCAATTTTGAATAAATTGGCTTTAATATTTACCGTTATATGAGATGTGGGCGTGGTTATTGTCCGATTTTAAAAATTTTCGGCCATTTGGTATCCTGTACCAAGGCCAATAACTGTCCCAAGTTTGGAAGAAATCGGTGCAGCGGTTGCCAAGATATACACATG